TTTCGTGGGAAAAATCCCAGAGCTGACTTTGCTTCTCCCATGCCTAGATGGATTTTTCAATAAAGCTACACTCTTGGTTAATTTAAAGAGCCGGGAGATTCTTTTGTTGAATGTGCCAAATGGGACGGTTGACATTAGGTCAGCTCTCACAGTAGTGCCTACCTGGATCCCACCAGGAGGCCAAAGACTCGAGATGACGCAACAGGCAAAAAATCAGAGGAGAGGAAGAAGCTGGAGGAGCCCCTGGCTCAAGAAGCCCTAGCAGTACTGCAGACCGGGACAGGGATGCAGCCGGTGGGCACATGTCCCAAACTGAGGGCTGAAAAGCCAGACCTGCAGTCGGTTAGCTTAAGGGAACGACTGCGGGATACCCCATACCAGGGACCAAAGACTCGCTGGGCAGCGAACTTGGGAAAGGTGGCAGAGGCCGAGAACACCCTAATCCCTGCAGGAATTAACGTGACCCTAGGGAGCAATTGGAAGGTGAGGTGGCCAGTTGAGTAAGACGAGCCGGTCAAATGTAAGTTCCCTGCTGCTGCCCGCAGCCCATCAATGGAGCAGCTGGGAGAGAAGTTCAGAGGCCTGGAGATCAAGGGAGTGGTGTCACTGGGAGCCAGGGCAACCGTGGCCAAGACAGGGGCAGTGAAGTCGCTAACTACCCCATCCCCTCCCCCCCTGCAGCCGGTGGTGCCAGCACCTGCCGGGACGATTGGATCCCCTTGAAGGGAGTAGCACCGTCCTTCCCCCCCCCCCACGTAGCAGCAAGCGGCCTCAGTAGCTCAAGTGGGGGTTGAGGCCCCTCTGGCTTCCTTCCCGGTGGTAGCAGCGGTCCTACCACCTGAGTACATTGTGGTGAGAGATGAGTGACCACCGCCCTCCCTCACGGTTCGGTTTGATGGGGACGCAGGCAAACTGGCTCACTTCTTAGCCCAGATGTGGCAGCACATGGCACTGCTATGGGGGAATGTACCCAGACAATGCAGCCCGTGTTCACACAGTGACGTCCAACCTGGAGGGCGGCATGTCCGGATGGCTGGTGGCCCTGCACGATGCTGGGGCGCAGGAGCTGGGCGACCTAGATGCATTCATGCAGATCCTGCGAGGGTGGTTTTAGGATCCCATGGTGGCCCGGCACACTGAATCCCACTTCCGCACCCTTAAGCAGGGAAAGTGGCCGGTGGCAGAGTACATCCAGGACTTCCGCAGCCTAGCCAGCCACCTTCCTGACTGGCCCGAACGCATGCTGTTCTCCTACTTCTGAGTGGGGCTAGATTGAGAGGTATACCAGAACTGCATACCCCAAGGGGTGCCATGGAACTTGCAAGCGTGGTTCCAAGTGCCTGGGGAACTGGAGATCAAGTTGATAGAGTTCTAGGAGCACACTGTGCAGGAAAGTCAGCCCCACAGAGTGCCCAAGAGACGCCCAGGCCCCGGGGAGGTAAAGGAGAGGCGTGTCCTCGGCCGGAGGAGGCAAGCCTTGCCGAGCCCCAGAGCCCTGCTTCCACTGCAAAAAGGAGGGTCATCAAGCAGCTGAGTGCCTCGCACCACAACCAGCAACCGCTCCTCTGCCCACCAGCCAATCCAAGAAGAAGAGACCCCCAGCGAAGTCAAAGGAGAAGACACATGTGGGAGAGCAAGTTGTTGAGCTCTCTCCTCAATCCAGTGAGGAGGAGAGAACTCCAACCAACCCCCAAAACTCTGTTTGCACCTGGTGCGTGATTAGCTCCTAGGTGGTGGAGAGGCTGGGTGTCAACGCTGTTAATATAGGATATTATTGCTTTGACAAAATATACAGAACTGTCTGGTATTTTTAGAGTTAATTCAGATGACAGAGAAAGGGAGGAGATTTATAAGGAAAGCCCGGGAAAAGGAACGGAAGTGAATCTTTGCCCTCCGGGCTAATTGGAAGATGTGACTTATGACTTCAAAATAAGGGAGGGGTTTAGCAAGAAAAGTTAGATGCAAGCAAGAGAAATTCAGATTCTGGCATCCATCTATCTGAAGTGCCGTCAATCTGTTACACTGTTAATAAAGGCTTTTAGGGTAAACATTGCCTGGAAGTTCTTTGAAGTGTTTCATTAGTCGGAACCATGACATCGGGACTGAGGCTAAGGAAACTGAGGTGACCCATTGTCACACCCTCAATGTATTTCTTATGCTTTCCTTTTCGGGTTCTGCCATTCTATTGGGGGGGGACGCTTGTGCTGGGAAAGGGGGGAATAACCTATGGGTCTTCTGCAATGTACTTCCTTTGCTTTGTTCTATCCTCTTTGAAGTATCTTACTTGGGGTGTGAAAGGAATGTGCCTCCAGCCATCTGCCTTATCTCCAGTCGGATGGGAAGAAGCCATGGAGAAACTTAACAGTCTTGAGAATGGCGCCTTATTGGTTCTTTCCCACAACAATTTAACAACTATGGATTGGTTCAATTCAAACCGGCCAGTTGGACATTTGGGGTGGGGTTTGAAGGGGTTCTTTTAATGTAACGTTTCGCATGGGAAATCCTCAGATCCTGCCTTACTATCCTGCTATCAATACCTTCCAATATAAGTTCCTGTTGAGACAATGCAAGTTTCAAGAGTTCTGCTTTTTTGGAATGTTTAACTGAGGCAGGTCCTTACACCCATGCTGTTTTCACAACTAGACAGGTCAATAACGAGGGGTGAGCCAGCCACCTGCCTAACAGAGCCAGTTCGGCTCAAAGTGGAGACTCAAGTAGAGACTGTTAGGTTTATTATAGTCCCCAGCGTGACTGAGCCCATGGTCCTAAGATTAGCATGGTGGAAAAAGTGGAACCCCTCTGTGAGCTGGGATAGAGAAAAGTGACAGATGTGAAGGAAAGCCACTAATTGGCAAGAGCCAGCGAAAGCGCCCGTGGCTGCGGCTACAAAAGTGAAAGTGGAAGCCACAAGTATACTAAGAGGACACGGTGGGTTAGAGCCGCTAATTTCAGTAGAATATCGTGACCTAGCTGAGGATTTTAGTGAAAAGGAATCAGATGTGCTCCCACCTCAGCGACCCACCGGCTGTTGGATACAGATCATGCCAGGAGCCAAACTGCCTAAGCCAAAAATATACTCTATGTCCCCCAGAAAGATGGATGTGCTCTGAGTGTTTATTGACAAGAACCTAGCGAGAGGGTTCATCCAGCCAGAGAAATCAAGAATGGCGGCCCAGTGCTTTTCAAGGAAAAGAAGGACAGGTCCCTTAGACTGTGGGTCGACTATAGGGGACTGAACTGCATATGTGTGGAAAACGTGTACCCTCTCCCCCTTATGAGGGACAGGCGCTAGGCTATTTGGCAAAGGGAAAAATCTTCATGAAGCTGGACTTGAGGGAGGCGTATTACCGAGTGAAGATTAAGGAAGGGGATGAGTGGAAAATGGCGTTTAATTGCCCTCTAGGCTGCTATCAGTTCTGAGTAATGCCATTCGGGGTGCAAGGGGCCCCTGCCGTATTCATGCAACTGATAAATGAGGTCCTGCACGAGCACCTGTACAAGGGAGTCTTGGTGTACTTGGAGGATATAGTACTATACACCGAGACCCCCTAAGAACACATGAAGCTGGTCAGAGCCATACTTAGGAAACTGCAGGAAGCTCAAGTGTATGCAGAGCTGTCTAAGTGTGAATTCCACAAGACCTGCTTAGACTACCTGGGATGCCGGATCTCCAGTGAGGGAGTGGAGATGGATCCCAGTAAGGTGAAGGCAATATAGGAGGCAACTACAGTTTCTTGGGCTTTGCAAACTTTTACTGCCAATTCATCCCCACCTTTGCCCAGATAGCCCAATATGGTAAAGATGGGGGAGGGGCGAAACCAAAACTCAGCCAGCCCCTGGATTGGTCCCTTGACTGCCAAGCCGCTTTTGAAATGTTGAAGCGCCTGTTTGGTACGGAGCCGGTCCTGAAACATCCCAACCCAGAGGAGTCGTTTGTAATACAGGTGGATGCCAGTGATGTAATAGTGGGGGCAGTCCTACTCCAAAGGAATGCCAAAGGGGAATTACAACCCTGTGCCTACACATCTCACAAGTTGTCAGACACTGTGATGACCCAGGGCCCCGAACGGAGGCAAAGCAGTTGGCTGGCAAGAGCAACAGTCTTTTAATCACTGCCAATGTTCACCCAAAAGCTCCCACATATGCTGGCACGAGTTCAAACAATACAGCCAGGGAAGTTTACACTGTTCTCAAGGCAAGACAGATAACAAGAAAACGTAAAGAGTCCTTTTAACTCTCAGCTTGCCTGCAAACTGCAGACTGCAAGGAGAGATCAGGAATGTAGTGTGGGGTCGTGAAGCAGGAAACAAACTGGTCCGGATCCCACATTTGTTCCCGGCAAATGCCCCACCCCACAGCGTCTCCTTAAATCCTAATCCCCAGGTGTGCCTTGTGGAGTGGGGCGGGATGCTCTCCTCCCGAGCAAGTGAGCCTGCCTCCGTTGTTCTCTCCTCCTCTCTGCTCTCCTTGCTCTAGGATCAGGTGGGGGGAGGCCTTGCTCCTTGCCTGAACTCTGCCTTCCCTGTTCCAAACCTGAAGGGCCCTGGCCTGCCTCAGCCTGCTCCTCCCTACAGTCCTCCGAAGCCACAGACACCCCCTCCTGGGCCTCAACAGAGAACTCCATGTCTTCCTCGGAGTCAGGCTCGGACGGAGGCATGACACACTGAAAGGCACTGGGCTATCTGGGAAAAGGAGGCTTATGCAGTCCAGTGGGCTCTCCTGACATGGAGACAGTTCCTGGAGGGTAGCAAGATAGACGGATCATAAAAACCTGGAAGCTCTGAAGCCCCCCCACCCAGAAGCTATCCCCTAAGCAGGTCCGGTGGGCCCAATACTTTAACCGTTTCAACTTCACACTCCAGTATCTGCCAGGAGGGAAAAACTTCCTTGCAGATGCCCTCTCCCATATGCCACAATACAATAGCACCCAAGAGGCAGTGGTGATGTCCATCATCCCATCCAAGCAGCGCGCATCACTGGCTCTCGCCTGATAACAAGTGATGCCTCAGCAGGAGCCAGCCCAGGACGTAACACAACCCTTAAATGATGCCCTAGTAAGCGATGAGTGTTTCCAGCAGCACAGAGATGACCTATCTGTGAAGGAGGGGCTAGCATGGAAAGGCACCAAAATATATGTCCCAGCCAGCCAGCAGACCTGGATTTTACAGAGGAGTCACGATGCAAGAGCAGCGGGACATTTTGGGTTTGTGAAGACCCTGCACCTAGTGAAAAGACAGTTCTGGTGGCCAAAAATGAAAAAGGACATAGAAGCGTACGTGGCCAGTTGCCCTGTGTGTGCCTCAATGAAATGGATGCCCGGGAACCCCCCCCCGGGTTACTGCAGCTGGTAACCAACCCAATGAAACCCTGGGAGGAAATCTCCATGGACTTTATTGTGGATTTGCCAGAGAGCACAAGGAACACTGTAATTTGGACCATTACAGACTTATTCTCCAAGCAGGCACATTTCGTGGCATGCCCAAAGATTCCCTCCACCCGAACCCTGGCAAAGCTGTTCATACAACCTATCTACTAACTGCATGGAGTCCCAAAGTGCATCATATCAGACAGTGGGGTGCAGTTCACCGCAAAATTTTGGTGGGAATTCCTTAAGCTGATTGGCTCCTCACAGGGCCTTAGCTCCGCCTACCATCCCAGTACCAATGGAGACTGTGTACGGTGTTAGAGCAGTCCCTGAGGTGTTATGTCAATTACCAACAGACCAATTGGGCCAAACTCCTGCCTTTTGCAGAAGTGGCATATAATAACTCTGTGCAGTATTTACTCCTTTAAGGATTGCTAGTGGAGTGGAGTTTGTGCCGATACCAGAGATCCCTCGGGAACGACTGTCTTCGGTGTCATTGGCTGAGTGGATGGAAACCTTGAAACGTGGGGGATAGTGCGCAGAGGATTACAGAAAGCTAGGGAAACACAGAAGAAGCAAACAGACAAAAAAGGGGCACCACGGGGAATTCAAGGTGGGAGATAAAGTGTACCTGTCTACAAAATTTTTCAACCTGAGGCAGTCTTGTAAAAAGCTGGCTCCAAAGCATATACAGTAGGGCCTTTCCCAATTGCCCGGATTATAAATCCGGTTACTGTAGAATTACAGCTGCCAAAAAGCCTTAAGCGAGTCCACCCTGTATTTCACTGCAGCCTGCTGAAACCTTTCCGCATCTCGGGATTAAGTCACACTGTGGAAATGCCTCCTCCTCCTATTCTGGTCAGAGGAGAGGAACACTATGAAATTAAAGAGATTCTTACCTCCTGGTACCATAGAGGGAAACTGCAGTATTTATTATTATGTAGAGGCTACCCTCTAGCCGATGCAGAATGGGTGGTAGTGACATATGTGAAGGCAGCTAAGTTAGTACGCAGATTTCATGCTGAGCATCCAGATCAGCCCGAGCGAGGGAGGTCATGGGAGTGGAGGGTGATTTCTAATGCTGTGTGCACTGTTGTGTTTTATTTTCCAGGGCTATCATTCTTCTGGGGAGTTGGCATGTCAAAACTGACTCATTCCATAGTTGCCTGTACCTGCTTTCACTCACAGCTTTGCCAAACAATGATGGGAGGAAGGTGGTGAATTCCTAAGGGTAGAGGGAGGCTATAGAATGCAGTTAACCATCTGTTGCCTGGGAGACATTATCTAACAAGGTCAAGTGATGAAGAATGTTTTGACCGAAGCAGACAGCTTTTCCCAAAGCAAAAGAACTGAACTCAGTTGGTGAACTATGAACTGTGGGTGGCCCAGAGGGGAAAAGGTAGTTACCTATGTGGGTTTTCATGGGCAAAAACCCAGAGCTGACGTCGCTTCTGCCGTGCCTAGATGGATTTTTCAATAAAGCTACACTCTTGGTTAATTTAAAGAACCGGGAGTTTCTTTTGTTGAATGTGCCAAATGGGACAGTTGACACTTCCTTTTATCTTTTATAAATAAATCGGTACACTTCCATAAAAAGTACATTTTTAAAAACAATGTCACTGACATTTCAAATTATTTATGGAAGCAATTTGCCAATTTGAAGTAGTGTTATTTCTTCTTTATAAAATATAGTGGATATAAAAATGCAAGTTTTTTGAGATGTAAAAAAAAATTACACCAATTACACTTCAAAATTCTTTCCACGTTTAATATAACATATAAGCTGTACAATTCAATTGAAAATCAAACTGAAATCTTTTAGGGGGGAAACTAAAAAAACATACAATAATGTGGTTGCACAAGTGTGCACACCCTTAAACTAATACTTTGTTGAAGCACTTTTTGATTTTAAGACAGCATTCTGTCTTTTTTGGGTAGGAGCCTATCAGCATTTTGAGATGTAAAAACCCCAAATTTTGATACAATACGAAGACAAGTCTGGTTAACAAAACAAAGTTTTATTGGAGAAAAACATAAAAATAATAAGAAGAAAAGAAAAGAAAAAAGAAAAGAAAGGCATTTGCAAACGCGCCCTCCTGGACCCTTCCCAAAATGGATTGGGTTCCAAGAGCGCAAAGAGCAGGTTTCAAGCTTTGCATTTTATACTTTTTACAATGCACGTCACATCTAAGAAGCTCTTTCAACTCCATAGTCATTCTTTGAAGTTGTTTTTACACTTAATAGTTCATCCTGACAATTTCCTTCCAATTTCCATCCATCCGGGTCATAATTCATTATCTTTGCTGATTACCATTTGTGGTCACTTTACATAGGCAGGAAACAGTAAACATTCCTTCTCATACATTGGCATTGCATTGTTACATTTACATTACATTAATACATTTGTGCTAAACATACAGTCTCATACATTGTTACATTGGAGCTTTATTGTTACATTTTATAAAAGAATAACTTTTATTTCCTTCAATTCCACCCTTTTTCTCTTTTCCACCTGAATTATTCTTTTATACTTTTAATAGTTCATAACTCCCTATATTTTCTTTAGATTCCTGTGCAAGCAAGTTTTCATATTCTGAATCTTCTTTCCCCAATGTTCCTTAAAGTATTGGGCCCATGGTCCTTCCTTCTACCAAAGAAGGTACGAGGGAAACAACAGTAGCAGAAGAAAAGTATTGCAACACATAATCCAGGTTCTAGGAACACGATTTCCAGGGTAGTCCAATCCATTGAGGTTTTTCTCCTACTTAGATGGAAACAGTTCAACAGGTGAGGCAGGTTGAAATTTCATTTTCAGGCTGTCCAGCTGCGGAGCTTGTCACTGGAGAGGATATGATGGGACTTTCCATGGACTCACGCCTTGATTCCTTAAATCAGGAGGACTTGGCATGGTTTTTTTTTTTTTTTCAATATAAAATTTTATTGTTTTTATCATAAACGAAAAAATACATCACAAGTATTACACAATGATTTATCCCATCCCCCTACCCCCCAGACTTCCCAAACCAAACCTAGGCTAACATTCAACTACAAGTAAACAGATATTAATATCTCTAACTCCAAACTCTAAACTTAAGCAATCCATCTCCT